GTATACGTAAGTGGTACTTGTGTTGGGCAATATGCAAGAGTTGTGCCATGGTCTGGTGCTTTCTGTGTAGCGGTGTGTGTCGCACAGGCGCAGCAGATGCTGCATAGTGGCGCTGATACCGTAAGGAGAAACAGGTGCGTTCGGCTCATCGGGAGGACAAGAAAGCGAGAGTGAGGCGTATGGGTGTTCTGGGAGAGCCAGAGACAGGGGATAATGGGGGGGGTTTCTTCCAGGGACTGTCGTGAGTAGTGATTCTAGAATATGTCTGAGATATTACTGGAAGGGTTATGATGGTTCTGGTATCCATGTATGCCTCTATTAAATGATCAATATACTATCTAAAAACTTCACGATTACTCCTTGTTATCCACTCCCTCGGCACATGTGATTCCATGCCGTATGGACAGAGTATCCCCAACATCCCTCACTCCAGAGGCTGGTCTCCTTCCTTAATGAACGGCTCAAGACCAATCCTAGCTGTATGGGTCACCGAAGCACCAAGGGTATCAAGCCGGTTGATTTTTCGACCAAGATACCTCCCTACACCATCCATTCGGTTATTGAGATGGGCATGCTGTTCATCCACTCTACGTTGAGCAATGGACTTTTGGAATTCGGTCGGGTTGAGGATGGGCATGAGACGGTGCGTTGGGTAAAATCGACCTCTAATCGACTGTTCCTTGAACACGACGTTCTCTTTGATCAGTGCGTAGCGCCAGCGCTGTGCCCCGACCGAATGGCGCCACTGGCTTTCACTTCGTAACGCAATGGGAAGGTGTTCATCCCGGACAATGTTTGGCTGGTCTTCAGACACGAGCTGGTAGATATGGCCGACGAAAAAGACGGCGCCAGGGAATTCCGAGGTGGTGAAGATGCGTCGGAGGCCCAGAACGCAAGTCTCGGCCGGGACGTTCAAGTCAGCTGGGATTGATCTGAGCCGCATTGCGTCGCCAATCTCGATGCGTTCAGCTCCAAAAAAGCAACCCCAGTACGCAACTCTCTTAAAATTCGGTTCTTCGGAGATTTTGGACCATAGGGAGTACGAATAGTCAATCTTCACAGCTGCCATCTTAGAAGCGTCGAGTGCAATCACCTCTCGGCTATTCCCGTCCGCAGTACTTTGGAAGAGAGCCTCCCATGAAACACCATCATATTCCTTGTCCTTCAATTCGGGGAGGTTGACAGGTGGTACGGTGAAGGCATAGAAGGGTCGCATATGCGCATCTGTTTTTGTCACATTGTTTTGTTGAACGATGCCATGGCCGATTGGCATAACCTCATGTTGACCGGCACTGGATGAAGCAATGACTCCAAGGCGCCATGCATTGCCGTTCAGATACCAGACCAGCTCTCCTGACCTGAACAGCACAGGTGATTTCAGTGACCACTGAACCGGCGGGGGCTGTGCTTGAGTAAGAGGTGGAGCTTCTTGTTGAATCTGCTGCTGTGCTTGAGGCTGGGATTGTTGAATATGCGGTGGCTGCTGCTGCTGCTGAAGTGGTGGTTGATTTTGGGGTTGAGACTGAGGCTGGGGTTGGATTGCCTGCTCCTGTGGTCGGATCTGGGGTGGGTGATGAATATGCTGTTGTATGGGAGTTGTAGTTACAGGGACCGGTGTCGGTGCTGGTGAATTTTGTGCTGTGGTAGCCGGCGTAGACTGTGTAGACGGCGGACGTGGTGCAACTTGGTTCGGCTTCTGAGGTGCCTGCCCAGGCATCGGGGGGAGGGGAACAGGCGTGACCTTGGGCGGGATCTTATCGGCTTTGATAGGTTCATGTGTGATGATCAACGCGTCGTCAGCACCGATGCCCCCTTTGATTGAGTTGAAACCGTTGCAGTGCGCACAGCAACAGTCTCGGTAGTCCATCGATGTTGAGAGCAACCATATCAGGTGCACAGCAAATTCCTGCGGGCTCTTAAAAAGCTTCACCTTGATAGGATACCCCGAAACCCAAAGATGCTTAGACTTCTCGTATAGCCAGTAACCTCGTGGGAAGTTCACTAGCCACGGATTCCCCTCTTCACATGGTTAGATATCTGAGAGGGAGCAGGCAGAGGAGCCAACTTACCATCAGGGTTCGGACATAGCTCTTGCTTCAGCAGGATCCCGAGTTTGACTTTCCACTCTGTGAATCTTGGATCGTCTTCGGCTAATCGAATCATCTGAGGTTTAGTCCTTGGTGTTTTCTCAGCCGCAGACGCATCCTTTGTCTTCTTAGTGGTAGTCGTGGCGGTTGGTGCTGTGACTGGCCAGTAACCAGGTCCAGTATCTGAGCCATCGCTTCTTGCCACCCGTACGACATCGAATTCTTTCAGTTCCGTGGGATTCATTGCCATTCTTGGATCAAGAGCCTATTTGCGTTTGACGCTTGCTCGATGCCTTGCAGGTTGAGGGCCCTCCTCCAGGAAACTATGAGGGCGTAAAAATTTTGTTTCTATCCTTTGGCAAGCGAGGGATGGCTCTAGGGCCTGATGAATTTGAAGTATTTGTCGAATTCGCGTGTTGTTGAAAAGTCGATCATTTATGATCGTGCGCTTTGATGAACTGCTCAACACGAAGAGTAGCTGTTGGAGTAACAATGACCTGGACACGCAATCTTTCATCCGCTTAGCTGAGTGTTACTAACAACTTGTATGTTCTGGGAAAATGCGTCCCGATCTTCGCGCTCTGTGCCTTGATCGTGAAGGGGGTTGCCGTAACTTACCTGAAGCCCAAAGCTCTCAAGTGTTCTTTCAATTGGTAGACGAGCTGAGTCAGCAGAATGGCTGGGCCACCCTACACTAAACAAAGGAATATTGGTTGACAGTGAAGTCAGTAAGGTACCTAGAGATTTCTGCTAGAATTCGGTATGGAAGAGCATGCTGTTTCTTTCTATTGGTAAAAGGTTTTACTGTTCTTCTGTGCATTCTGGCCGTATTCTAACGTGCTAATGTACAATCAATGTATAATGTCAATCGAACTTCATAGTCAACATTCACGGGTTATTAATTTGATCTGATGAAACCTTCTCATCTATACAAGAAGTAACAAAGCATTCTCGAAACACAACGAAACAAAGAAAATCGAGTGGCACTGACAAGTGATATAAGAACAGCAAGCTGACTGACATGCCTGAATGAGCCACCACAGCCACAAATGCGTGGCTCGTGCACTCAATTGAACCGTTGAGATCCCTTAATTAACGCGTCAAACGAACGCGTCTTCTCTTCCCCTCCAAGAAAATCATTACTGAGCTTTCAATCCAAGTATTCACACCTCATCAAGTTTGAGAACAAAATATAAATCTACAGCGCTTGGCCTCGGGCGCGAATACCATCAAGTCCAAACAAATTATGAATAACCATGAATTCAACCACGGGGATAGGGCCTTTCTACAGGCTATTCTAGCTCGAGGAACGATTACTTTCGAAGAGGCCCGTCCTATCCTTGCTGCGATATTCAATGCCGGCCGTAGGCACAACGAGGATGAGGACGGAGATGAAATACGAACAGATCAAATCACTGAAGAACACTTTCAAGAGGCCATTGACAAAGCTTCTGAAGCAGCCTCACTTTTTGACTACGAAATCCGAAGTACTTTTCACCAAATTACCAAGAGACGAATATGGGCTTTGGTCAACACCACATCCGATCCGCAGACGCAACTCGCTACAACATACAGCCACGAAGAAATCTCGTTCATCAAACGTGTTCTAGACGCCATGTTTGAAAAGTTCAATACCCCGCGTATGGAAGTCATGGCTATCACCGAGATGCAGGCCATCAAACTGGCACGGCCAAACCGACGAGAAAGCCAGATCGATGTGGAAACTCAGACGCAAACAACTGCAGACAAAGGACTGAAGCATAGTGAAGTGGAAGCTGTACTCGCAAATTTGGTCGAGGGAGGCTGGTTCGAGAAGAGTAACGAGGGGTTCTATACATTGTCACCCCGAGCATTGTTGGAGTTACGACCCTGGCTAGTCGAAACCTACAACGACCCGGATCTTGAGCCACGCGATTGGCAGCGCATCAAGTTTTGCGAAGCATGCAAGGACCCAGTTACGATTGGACTGAGATGTGCAGAGGTGGATTGCAACTTCCGGCTCCACGAGGTGTGTGACGAGGCTTTCTGGCGAACTAGGCGCGACAGCAAATGCCCAAGATGCTCTACCGAGTGGTCAAGTCATAAGTTCACAGGCGAGAGAGCGGTCACTTCGACGGATGCTTTCCAACGGGGACGGCGGAAGAACGGTAGCGGCTGGCAACGTAGCACACTCGCCGATGAGGTTATCCGTGATCAAGGAGGGGCAGATGAGGTAGAAGACGAGGACGTTGATGACGCCTGATCAAGGTGTATACGCTGTTCTACCTACTTGTATGTCTTTATCGTTAACCATAGAATTTCAAGATACCCAGGGTCAATCAACATGAATTGGCATTACTTAGTCATTACTTATGCTGCCTACCTGTGCCAGCTGAAGTCGAATTAAGTCCCGATCTCCACCCACCCACGTTTTGGAAGCGATTTGACCAATAATTTTCGGATTCGTATCATGCTACGGCAGTTGATTGTCGATCATCAAATCACGTAGCCGTAAACATATTTACGTGGGGGAGCTTAGGCTCTCCTCAGGGAGCAAGAAAACTTCTGACCTTATATTAAAGTACCAAAAAAGACTAGCCTAAAGGTCCACTAAATTTATACTAAATTTACCGTAGTCTTTTTGTCACTTAGGATAGAAGTCAAAAGTTTTCTTGCCTCCCCTAGGCTCTGACTCTGGGCTGCCGTCATGACATCACATGTGATGTGGCTGTGTGCTCTCGATTCGCGTAGATCGTTCGTCACCCAAGACAAGACAAAGGCGAATTTCCAAGCGCGCGCCAACACCAAATCGCCATCCCTCTTTTTCCTTTGAGCTGGGCGGCCTCTTGTTCCAGACTAAGGTAGTTAAATAGCTAAATCCCCATCTGCCGGATCTCCGAACCAGGCACCCCATACATATAACAAAACTCCAAAATGTTGGAATACTTGACATACAAAAAGATCAAGAAGAACAGAGCGGAGAAAGCGGCTGCTGCTGAGGAGACTGCGAAGAAGACCGAAGCTGGATCTTCGGTAGACCCATCCTACGGACATGTACCGGATTTCAGCAACGACGCATCTCGTGCATCAGGTCATCAACACAGGCGGCGAAGCACGCAGCACAGCCTCAGCTCCAATACTCCTCCTCTGAGCCCAGTCCTCGACCGCGATGATGAGGCCTGGCTGCAAAGTATCCTGGAAGACGATGGTCCAGCTCCGCCTCTGCCCCCACGCATCAATACCCCTCAGATCGACCTCTCGTCTGCATCTGAGAGTGAGATAGAGGCGGTCAAGGCTCTGCAAGAACCTAAGAGTAAAAAGGACAAGAAGAGAGAAAAGAAAGACAAAGAGAAAGAGAAGCACGACAAACAGCCAAACCGTCTAACGGCTTTGTTCACGAGACACAAGAAACCACAGGATGGTCTTAAGCCTGAAGATAACGTCGCCCCACCAGAAGCTGAGCGTGAGGAGCAGGATCTCGGTAACGTTCTCGACCGCCTGAACCTCCAAGCAAAGAACAACAAGATCGTTTCTCTCTCCAACGAGTCATCCGAGCTCCTGTCTCGTTTTACTCAAGTATTCAAAGATCTTGCCAATGGAGTGCCAACAGCCTACGGCGATCTCGCAAGCCTAGTTGAAGATCGCGATGGTGCCATCAATCGCGGTTTCGAAAAATTGCCTTCATCTCTCAAGAAGCTTGTTACTCAACTTCCAGATAAGCTGACGTCCTCCCTGGCGCCTGAGCTTTTGGCAGCTGCAGCAGAAAGTCAGGGTCTTAAGGCAAATACGGAAAAGGGCGTTAAGGATGCCGCTATTGACCTCCTCAAGCCCTCCAATTTGACCGATCTGGTCACGAAGCCAGGGGCTGTCGTTGGTATGCTCAAGGCTATCGTTAACGCATTGAAGGTGCGGTGGCCTGCATTTATCGGTACAAATGTTATTTGGAGCGTTGCTCTATTCTGCAAGTCATGATGCGCAAACTGTTTCATACATTTGCTAACCCTGAACAGTATTGATGTTTGTACTTTGGTATTGCCATAAGAGAGGCCGCGAAGTGCGACTGGAGCGTGAGAAATCTCTAGCTGAGACACCCGTTGATGGCAGCGATCGCATCGAAGAGCTTCCAGATGACCCTCTTCTTCCCGGGCCAGAAGCAGCGGCGGCGGGTCGCAATACCGACAGGGCAATACTCGGAGATCCTGTTTCTCCTTTGTCTGAGCCATCCCCGATTCCTGCTGTAGTCGAGCCAGTCTCACCAGAGGAACCGGTTCGTCGTCGCTGAGACAGTGCCTGGATAGGAATTCTGTTTGCAAGCAGGTTGGTATAGGTAACGAGCAGGATTTACGACATGGTTTATGACGAAATGAGAATGGGGCCTCGGGGCAGTGCGATACCAGCTTTTACTAGTGATGAACATGATACGAATAATAAACTTGATTTCTGCATTTCCACAGTGGGTATCTTTTATAGGTTGAAAGGCATATCTGTTCTGGAGGGTTTCGTAATTCGGCTTTCCAGTGCCATCCGGACACAACGAGACAACAAATATTGTGATGCTTAATCGTCTTGAACCACTTCTTTGATCTCTTCTCGCCCAGGGGCCATGGCGACGGCCTCACTCTTATCGCTCACACCTTGGCGATCTGTCGCCCCACCTCCATCTTGCGACCAAAAGTCCACCTCATCAATAATGTCATAGACAATATCCTCTGCAATTTGGTCACAATAACGCTCGCTCAAAGCGTGCACCTTGTTCAAGAGAGCGTTGCCTGACCGGACCTCATCGGGACCATCTTCGGTGGTCTCGGCTGGAGGAGGATACCAAAATTCGGGGCCGAAATTGACTTCCACAGCGCCTCCACGGAAGACACTTACGGCAGGGTAATATCCGAGCATGCCGTCGTCGAGGCCTTCGCGAGCGCCAACTTGGGCTTGAGGACGCGAAGCTGGTGGAAGGAAGCCGAGGAGGTTCTTGAACGGAGTTCCCATTAAAACACCATTCTTGTATATGCGGATGCAAGAATTGGGAAGCGTGCGGAGACTTGGAAGGGGGTGATTAGGACCGGGTTCTTCTGAAGAGCCACCGCCCGCCCCCGTCGGGTTCATAAGATCTTCCAGTTCTTTGGCGGGGAAGTACTCGATCTTCTCGAAATAAGTATGAGCTTTGAAGCGTATGGGAACGCGATCGCGGACAATGTTATGGCCTTCAGCGGTGGGCGCAGGACCCTCATCGGTTTGATCAACAACTGGATTGTACTGTCCAGACATGATCTTGCGGTGCAGATGTTCTGATGGAAGCTGAATCTCGAGGCCGATGACATCTCCCTCTCGAATGCCTTCTCCGGCAGGAAAGAATTGCTTAGGTCGAGACATATGCACCTTTTCTCCCGCAACATCACGGAGGCCATAACTGTAAGCATCAAACCCCACAGGCGCATCAAGCGATGCTTCTCGTCTCGCCCAGCCCACGCGCACATGCTTTCCTCCTTCCGGTTTGGTCTCTCCATCTTTTGGTGGCCGAACCCCTTGTGTAATTTTGCACTCCCAGTACCATCTGCCCTCCCTCACAGCCACGTTTGCCCGTGCCATGCGAAATCCTTTGTCGGTTGTGACTTGACGAGCCGACTTATCAAAATAAACATGCCCCGCTGAGTCCTCGAAGCTCATGTGGGGGCCATATGGCTCTGGTTCTGTGCTTCGGTAGTAGATCATGGACGGGAAGAGAGGATCGGCGATGCAGTGAGTATACCGGAAGTTCTTCTTGTTAGAAACACTTTGACAGTTAGCATGAATGTATTTTTGGGTATGGTCTTGGCTTACTGATCCGATGTCTCAAAGAATTCTACCGTTTGGCCACTTGGAACCGTAACCTTGTGATGCGCCGTCATGACAGGACCTCGAGGAGGGTCAAAGCCGGACAATTTAGGCAGCGCCAACTTGTATCGTAATGGGCTCGACTCGCTCTGTTTCTTCTGTGGCTTCGATTTTGGTTTTGGATCAGGTGTCGCACGAGCACTATCGCTTCCTTTGGCCTCGCGTTTCTTGAGCGTTTCCTTCTTTGTTCGCGCAGACTTGGATCTAGCATTTTGAGCAGCATCTTCGGGTGCCAAAGAGTCGGAGGGCTTGACTTCAGGATTCAATGGTGAGGGGACGACAGGACTGTGACGACCTTCTTCAAGGGCGCGTTTTTGCGGAACCGAGGACAAAGGGAGAGTGGGAGTTGGTTCTCTCTTGGGGGAACTCCCGAGCTCGGAAGTCATGATGAGGGGGAACGACTTAGACGTTCGCGATATTGCATGCAGTCAGTTAAAAGTACGGAATTGATGTTGAGTGACGCGACGCGACGTGATAACCAGACTATTAACGCCAATCTTTCTTAAGATGAAGCTACTGATCGATAACCCTGCGTTTGAGCATGAGCGAGATAAGATAAGATAAAAACGAGAATGCGAGTTCAAGCCTCGGCTGATAAGAATTGAATGGAAAGAACAAAAAAGAGGGCCCGATCTCGGCCTAGCGTGGACTGGATCTGAGTCGGTCAGGGCACCAGGACGGCGATCCCCTGCGCAAAAATCCGACCAGCGGCGCCAAGAAACAAAGAGGAATTTCTCCGTATTAGCTGAACCAATCAGAGAAGGCTTAATGTAATCCAACACATTTCAGGGGCTAAATGGCAAAGTTGACAGAGCCGCGGTGAGGAAGAGGGGTCTACTAGAACGTCCTAATTTAAGGGCCCTTTCTCTTGGTCCCTCCACTGTGACGACACGTTGGGAAGGGTCTTTTCTGCAAGTTTTCTGGCGTGACGAGATCTGGAGAGTTGAGAGTTCATGTTTGTGAGGCATAGATCTCTCACGTGAAAAATACGAACAGTACTCGGTATCAAATGATATCCATGCAGTCGGAAACGGCATCTTTGGTTCGAGAGCTAAGAAAGACACTAGAAACGAGATGAGAGTGTCTAGATCAAGTCGGTTGTTTTAACCCCAACCCACCAGCGGCCGTCGTTCCATGCTGGGGCCGACTCCCCGTGAAATCGCATCATGTGTCTGTTGAGTCTCGTCTTGCTTCTGGTTTGTTTTTGCCTTTGCACGTCACTCCCCTCTTGTCTGAGGACGAATTAGACTTGGCTGTCACTGAGGGGTACGAAAAGAAGAGAATAGAGAGAACAGAGTCAGCGAGTCTCTCTCTGCTGGGCCCCATTTTGACTCATGCAATGCAACGCCAGCCCGAGACCCGACAACCAGTCTCCAATCCACCATAACTAATACCAAACAATCTGAACGGTAGAAGGCAGAGCGAGGCAAGGCAAAGTAAAGCAACGCAAACAAGAAAGCACAAACCCAGATCCAATTCCAAGACTAAGCCCCAGCCCCATTGGATAGATTAGGCCTTGTCTGATCATCAATCGCTACGCAATCACCTTATTCTGCTCAACTTTCTCTGCCCTCTATTTCTCGTCTGACCTGCGCCTCAATCTCAAATCAGACGGAATTGTTCGTCCATCTGTTTTGTTGACTGTCATCTCTGAGTTCTCACCTTTGACCTCTACCCTTTCCCTTCACCCTAACCCCCGCCTTGTCCTCTCTTGGTTTCGGACACCCTTCCTTCTCCCGGGGTCACCGTCATTTCCTCCACCGCCATCTGCCGTCTCATTGCGTCGCTAGTTATCGATCTACGGTATCTCACGCGCGCGTGCACGCACACATACAGTACACAAACATACACCCTGGTCTTTGGTCTTTGCTCTGCTTGGTCACCAATTCACCTTCCACCGTCCCAGCCTGGTGGTGCCGCAAGACTTGGAGTCTGACGCCTAAACCCATTGACGAAGACCTCCCCTGTTATTCGCCAAGCACCACATTCAATTATACCTTGCCTAGGAACGAGACAAGGCGTGTTCCGTCCCGTCCTGTGCTGTCCTGCACTTCGCTTTGGGCCGCCTTTTGTTGTCTTACCAACATCTGTCATTGCGTAGTCACAGATTCATCACCCTTGCCCCTACTTTCCGCCTTTTTGGTTTGGTTGATAATCTTTGTTATCTCCTGTTCTTGGTTATTCCCTTCGTCTTCTTTACTACACACTCCAAACATCCTTGTCCTCTCCTCTCCTCCCCGCGGTTGTCGACTCCTCAACCTTCTTCTTTGGTCTTCTCGGCCTTGCAGTTGCGCCGGTCCCAAGTATCTGGTCGCTGTCGCGTCACTCTCTGACATCTGTCGTCTGACCAATACCTGGCTTCCCGTTCGATCGAACTCGATCCAACTTTCGATTGGTCCTGTTACTAGGTCAGCTGCCTACGCATCTACGTCTCTTGGTACCCTGGCGACTTGTTCAACTCGTCTGCCCACCAGCAAACTGGCAACTTGACGATACATATCGCTTGACTGCAGACTGGGCTTTGCACTAGGTACCTCCTCAGGATTCTGACTTTCACCTCGCATCGAGCCAAGAAAGTGATACCTTTGTTTGGTTCGCTTCGGTGCCTGCGAACTTGTAGTTACATAACCCGGCTCCGGCCTCTCTCCGGATTCGCCTCCTTCCTCGGCCGGTTCGAAACCACTTATCAATCCGCTGCAGCCGATTACGAGTCGTGTGAAGGACTTTCTCTCCCGTAACCAAATTTCAATCTTACTCATCTTCGACCTGTACGACAATCAAATCAACCTTACCGACCTTGATATCAACGCCGATGCACGCTATAGATTTCGGTTTGTAACTGACCCGTCGCATTCAAACCAAGACTATTGAAGTGCACCTATTTGATTCATCTGGACCATTGTCGCCTTGTTCTCCTCGATACTATCAGCCCTACCTACGGGCATGAGCCAAGAAACCCAATCAACGGCGCTGTATAGCCATCAGCGCGAGACGGGCTCGGTGCGAACTGCGCTGCCATCACGACCAATGTCCTCGAAACCAAGTGATACCTCGACTGTTTCTTCTCAGGAGCGGACTAGACTCCCTACCGTCCAGGATAACCGCGACCACCAACATAGACTAAGTGGGAGCCCATCTGGCTCCAAGACAAGTCCAGCTCCAGGAAACATGTTAAAGCAACAGAGTCCTGGGTCAGAGCATGGTTCAAAAACAAGTCCGCCACCCAGTGGAAGTCAAGGACAAGTTTGCAGGTGAGCTTAGCCTTGATTCTACAGTAATTACTCTGCTTATACCGATGATAGTAACTGTGGAACCACCCGAACCCCTTTGTGGAGGAGATCACCTCAAGGTGCTACGATTTGCAACGCCTGTGGTCTCTATCTGAAAGCCAGAAACGCCTCTCGTCCGACTAGTCTCAAGCGACCACCGAATGTTGTCCCTGCAGACCCCCCTCGAACAACTGCGCCGAAGCCCTCTGCAGCCACAGGCCCAAAACCTGCGTCAAATGCGACCTACGTATCTGCTGATCAAACTGGAGGGACTTGTCCTGGAGGTGGACGCTGTAATGGAACGGGTGGTGCAGAGGGCTGCAATGGATGTCCGGCCTATAACAACCGTGTTTCGAAAAGTGCCAACCTAGGTGGAACCCAGAAACGACAGAGTTGCCAAAGTCGGAGTGAAAGTACCAAACCAGAACCAGTGCCTCTGGATGTCAATGCCCTTCAAAATCAACAAAATTCGAATGCCACGGTTGTGATCGCATGCCAGAACTGTGGTACCACTATTACTCCTCTCTGGAGGCGTGATGAGAGCGGCCACACCATCTGCAACGCTTGTGGTAAGTATTGACCTGTTAGCGTTTATTAAACAGTAGTCGTTAACAGCCCTAGGCCTATATTATAAGCTACATGGTGTTCACCGGCCGATGACCATGAAGAAATCGACTATCAAAAGACGAAAACGAATTATCCCAGCTTCCCAGGATGAAGAGATGGAGGATGCAATAGAGTCAGCCGAAATACAGGGCCAGTATGAGTCGAATGCCGAGAAGGGGTCAATGAACGAGGACGGATCTGTCAACCTGGGTCTTCGTCGCCGTCCAGATCATCCACTCACGATCGAGCCTCAACCGGTTATCCGACCTACAAGTAGAACAATATCGCCATTACCTTCGACCTCGGATCTCGCTGCGTACCACCAGTCAAATAACCCACGCCAGTATACCGGATCCCTGAACGACGATAATCGACTGGCCCCCATGGCGTCTATGTCATCGAACAATGACAGGAAGACATCGCTATCCCCTGCCTCGTTTCTGTCGCCAACTCGAAAACGATCCTTCTCTACTACCGAAAGTGAAGCATTTGCCTCACAAGAAAATGGACAGGAGAGCTCGAAACGAATCTCCTCGATTAATATAAAATCGATACTGAATCCCTCGACGTCAGCCACCACTCCCCCCAATTTAGGAACAGGAAGCGACGACGGCGACTATTCCTTGCCTCCCATACGATCACCTGGCAGTACCATAGCATCAGCACCTAGTCCCAGCGCTTTTTCTAACAGAGATAACACACCAGGTGCTGGCCCGCGTGATTTCGACAGTGAGAGAATAAAGGCTGAGCGTCGAGCAGCCTTACAACGCGAAGCGGACAAGATGCGAGAAATGCTTGCCGCAAAAGAGAGAGAATTACAAGAACTTGGACATGATTAATGAGTAGGATCCACGACAAGACATCAACGATTTATGAGGTGCCTCTTGGTCAGCAAGGTGTCACTGGACGCGGAATTTGAGTGAATGGAAGGCGAGTTAGGAACCGGCGCATTTTGGATTTCACAGCACACACGGCTTTCTCGGATGGGTTTCAGCTCATGGAACTGGAGTTATTGCTGTCAAGGAGCATGGTGTTTGACATACGTGTCTGGTCTGCTTTCTTTCTTTTCTTCTAAAAGCTATTGGAAGGATTATACAGAACTACTCGCTGCAGCCAGCGATACCACTCTACCTCTCAAAAAGGACATTATTTAACGCTACGGAAAAAGCACATATAGACAGGATCAGGCTGTATGTATCGCAAGATAGTCTACACGAGCCAAAAAAGAGAATGCGGTGTCGCGTTGAGCGACTGTGAGTTGACAACTTGATCAAGTATCAGTTTTGAGCCTCCTTCCCGCTTCCTCTTTGATTTATTCGTTGTGATAACGACCTTCGTGAAAAACCAAGAATTTTTGATGGAATTTACATAGTTTTCCGAGATTCAACGTGCACTCTATAAATCGTTTGCGAAGGTGGTTGCACAGTAAACCATCCATTGTGTGGACATCATAGCGTAGCACAAAGCCCCGTGCTCACTATGTAGGCGCCTAATGCGTACATAGCCCAAGCTTGACAGACCACGAGGTATAAAAAGTAGGTTTTTATGCATCAATGAACTGATCAGAAAACCCGAGTCGTCTTGTGATCACAACGAAATAGGTTGCCTTCAAGGACCATGAAGTGCAAGGCTTGTTGGTAAGACTGATCCATACAAATGTAACGCTGTAGAGAGAAAAGCGGCGAACTCGTTTACTACAGCCAGTGACATTATGACTTAAAGGAAAACAAATCCCAAGACTACTTAAGCAATGCAATGGTCCATTAGGGTGGGGAGAAATTGTTTCCTCGGGCATTGGAGAAGATTTGACGACGGATAAGATAGCAAAAGGTGCCGTCACAGCTCAAATTCTTGGAACTAATATGTTAGATGCATCATTACTAGTAAGATTAGAACAAGAAACATAGTATGAACCTCTAAGACTCTTTGTTTATACAGTGACGTTCTCGAGGTGTTCCTCTTCGATATGGTGATATGATAGGAAGGATGAATGAAGGGCGACCTAACAATGAGCTAGCTCTGACAGAGGCCTGAAGATGTCTGTCATTCGTTAACCGCAGCGCATAGGCCGTTCATGATATATTCCTCGCAATGAAACCTATAAAACGCCTGGCGTGGAGTAGTTTAACATTGGCCCATGCAATTGCAACCTTCAGGGAGGGGATAGAGCTGTCGTGAAACCATGGTAGCTACCATTCATGCATACACTCGGTCTTGTAATACATAGCCGGTATTTGAGTTGAGAGTTAGCTGCAGCAGTTACGGGTGCCTTGTGTTGGCCGTGCGCTGCTGCGGGATCAACTAGAGTGACTTGATGCGTTCTCTGTTAAGTGTTCAAACAAGACGGGGGATGTCATCAATATAGTGGATGAAATCATGATTGAACAGTACATAACTAGCAAGTTACCTAATTGCGAAAACCATGGTTTGCTAACTTCTGTATGACGCGCCTAAGCCCGAGTGAATCGCTGTTAGTCACCGTGTTTGGGAGGGTTGGATTTGGTGGTTATATGCTATCTTCTAGAGGGAAGCCTTGAAGATGTCGCGGCAGCGTAGCCAACTGACCGACACGCATCGAGTGAATTGTATATGCATCGACTTTCAACTAACATGAGTACTCGACCCCGTTCAAGTAGATACTACATCTTCAGGCTTCGCCACAAGGCTGTGTGGATGCCTTCAGAAATCTCTATATCCTAGGCACTGCCTGTAACATCAACTCCAAGGAAAATATTACAGGTTATAAAGTATTGATACTGAGCTGAGTTTGATGTCAATGTCTGCCTTGATATATGGATATACAGGAAATCGAACAGTTCATTAACAGAACAAAACACCACAATTACCATCAACATGAGGATATGTCCAACGAAAAAGGACCCACCAAGATTCAGGATATACCTAACAGCTGCCCGCAGTCTTTTGTATTTCAGTAAGGTGGATGATTCTTTCGGCTTCGGGAACAACTGGTTGAGGACGAAAGTTTTGTTTGAGCAGATAGTCAAAAGCACGACGAAAAGTATACTGGCATCCAATGGTAAATCATAAGGTTAGTCAATCAACCCGGCAAGAGACACTTGAGTCAACTTATCAAGCTGCGGCAGAAAACTATTCGCCATGCTAAAGTCATTAGGTCTCTGAACAGCTGGACATGTTGTGATACCTGCCCAGCAGCATGGTTCGGATCTTACCGTATGTGCATATTGAGCTAAGTTAAAGTTACGGCATCTGCGGAGGGATGTTTTGCCCTGTCTATCTCCGGTCCGGGATCTGGTCGAGATAAAAGGAGAATTTCCGAGCAAAGGGCGTTGATATGGTCAGAGTTGTATGCTGAATCGAGCGAAACTAGAACGGCCGGGCGTCGATTCTTTAGCATCAAAACTTTTTTTTCTCTTGGAAATGCCGTAAACTCACTGCTGGACACCCCCATAGGCTCCTGTCGAGCTCCGTAATGACCGGTACCGGTGCCGGTGCCGGGTGGGTCGCCTCTGGAGACTCCGTCACGGTGAGTACTAAAGGCTTACCACCAGTAGTTGCAACTGTACCCGTTCTGCCGCTTTCCGCTGCATTTCCGCCGTGCAGGTAGGCGGGTTCGCCTAAACCAATGGCGCATTTTCTTGCCCCAGGATTTGATCACCTACACCAAATCTTGCTCATATCAATCGCAACCTAGATACATAGACACCAAAAAGACCTCATTCAACTTTTCTGCTTACCAATACGTCAGATGATAAGACACAACGTCGTGTTTAAGCAGGGAAATATCTTGAGTGATCTGCGATTTGCTACCCCAAAGCTAAGGATGCTGTGTCGGTGGCTGATCCTAAAATCTCACCGACAAGGCAGACCAGCTGGTCTTTATTTTTCTCTCCGATAAACTGTTC